CGCATGGAAAATTATGGCATCAGATTGTCATCTGTATGTCATCTCGCCGATGACAAACGGATGACAATCTGATGACAGTCTGATGATAAAACTGATGACATACTGATGACAAACGGATGACAAAACGCGAATAGGCATTTGTCATCAGTATGTCATCATTTTGTCATCAGTTTATCATCCGTTTATCGTCAGATTATCATCCGATGACAAAAGGATGGCAAATGGATGACAAACGGATGGCAAACTATGGTCATGGTACGGCTCCAGCCAGCTCCAGCCTAACGGTGCGCATTTAAACTTTCCCGCCTTATGTTTTACTGGTAGACCGCATTTCCCTCTCACGCCTAAAGTAAGCGTCGTAGAGCAAAACGGCTTACTGTGGTGTATGAGGATAACATACTCTATCCATTTCTGAGAAAAATAATAATTCGAAAATCATCTTTTAAACGGCTATAGATACAGAATTTTTAACACCACCATCGTGCTCAGAGCGAAAAGTTTACGTGGAAGACTGGAGCTCTATCTTCCGATCGACTTATCGTCACTCCATTTACACGACTTAGACACCGTATAGACTCGTAGGGCATTTCGTGTAAAGCATGTCCGGTTGGAACATTCCCCAACGATCTGGAGCGACGGACGCAGCCCGTTTGTCATCGGTTTGTCATCCGTTTATCATCAGATTGTCATCTGATGGCAATCTGATGATAAACGGATGATAAACGGATGACAAAATGATCACAAACTGATGACAAACGCCGATTCCCGTTTTGTCATCCGTTTGTCATCAGTATGTCATCAGTTTTATCATCAGACTGTCATCAGATTGTCATCCGTTTGTCATCGGCGAGATGACACACTGATGACAATCTGATGCCATAGTTTTCCACGCGGGCGCTGCCACCCGTGGAGCAACTTTATTGGAGCGGTAAATCAGTCGGATCTAGTGGCGCTTTCTTCGCCTTCGTTAATTGGTGCGTCGTGACCTCTCGAATAAGTTTTGGGTCTCCCCCCCTCTCTCTCTCTCTCTCTCTCTCTCTCTCTCTCTCTCTCTCTCTTTCTTTGTCGCGTGCCGACCCTCCACACACGCAGTCATGCACACGTTACTGTCGTGAATGGCCACCTGACCGTGTCTGTGTGCGTGTCACAGAGGTACATGGGATGTGTGTGTTTCGTACCCGTTTTGAATGAGTGAGTGATTCGTATGCTTGGGCACAACCCGTTCTACGTGGGAGGCCGCAGCCCACAGCCGGCAGTGGCGGTCCCTTCCCTTCCGCTGGGCCCCACAGTTTTCGCCTTCTCTCTCTCTCTCTCTCTCTCTCTCTCTCTCTCTCTCTCTCTCTCTCTCTCTCTCTACTTATTTTCTAAGATTGCACAGGTGTGGCGTCGGACGTGGCGCCCTACTGCTACCATCACAGACGTGGAGGCTGGCGTTCACATGTTAGTGATGAGGCTGAGAGAGAGAGAGAGAGAGAGAGAGAGAGAGAGAGAGAGAGAGAGAGAGAGAGAAAGGGGCACTGCGATCTTCCCCGAACGCCCCCGCCGCCGGCCGGCAAACAACAGCTGAGCTACTCGTGCCGCCCCAATCCTTTTATATCAGTGTACGCGTGCGCTTTGAGGTGAGCGTGTGTGTGTGTTGATGTTCGGAGAAGACTATATATCCCCGTGCAGCTTCATTGCCGGTGGCGGAGCCAGCCTGTCTGGTTCACACCGATATGGTAGATAAATAAATAGCCTCAAACTGACTCGCGCTTGCCGCCTTTACGCGCTCTCTCTCTCTCTCTTTCTCTCTCTCTCCGACCCGTTCAGTTCACTGCCGCATTGTTATGGTCTCGGTCTATAGACTTGTGCCGCCTGCCTCACAAGACGCGGGATGGGGCGGGCGATCGCAGCACCCGCCCAAATGTGTTATTTGGAGAAAACTTCAAATAATTTAGGTGACGATAGAGTGGGAGGTTTAGTTTGCCGTCTTATTTATGTCTAATTGGTTTTATTAGAGTGATTGGACTGATCAATTTGGTCCGTAACAAAAATATGGAGTTATGGGGAGGGAGGGAGGGGGTGAGGGGACAGGGGGTACAGATAGAGGGGGAGGAACGACCGTGAATGATGTCATGGGCTCAGACGGCGGCCGCCATTTTTCGCCGAGTTCGCGGAAAGCCCATGAAGCGAAATAAAGATGAGAAAAATAATGCGCCATCCCGATGATTGGCCGGAGGGGAATGATCCGTTTGATGACGCCGAACCGCCGTGGCGTTCGTCGTTTCGGAGCGCGCGGCTTGAAAGGAGGCACTGCAGAAAGAGAGAGAGGGAGAATGCGGAGAAAGAGATTAGAGTGAGGGAAGACCAAGGGGGAACCAGTTGAGTAGATGTGGAGCAAAAGTCTATTTTGTCAAATCTTGAGCTCTACTCGTATGCAACCAAAATTTCGCTGATGATTACACTATCGCTGATTAAGGTTCGGGAAAGTAATCAAGTTTGCATACACTCCTGGAGTGGCAGCGGCAGCCGCCCGCCCCGCGCCCTGCGCGGTTAGTGTGTACGCGTGCGCATGCGCGGGGCGCCGGGCGTTAACGATCAAGATGGCGCTCTTTTACGACCGACGGGCGGGCTATTTAAATAGTTTATTTGTGACCTCCTCTCGCCTTCTTACCCGCCACTCTCGAGTTACACGCCGAAACGGCTAAAAAGTGTGAAAGATGCGCAGGGTGAGAGGAAAAAATCGATTATCTTGTCTGTATCTAGATTTTTTGATGCGGCCCGGTTTTTGGGTCAAGTCGAGGCCAAAGTTGTCGTATGCGTGTTTGTCGCACCGTGTGTTGTATAGGCCATTTTGTAGTTGTTTTTCTTTATTTAATATTTTTTTCGATGATCTTCTGATCGTGCAATAAACACGTTAAAGTTGGGTATGTGGCCTCGCTACTTGACAATAAAGGGGTGCAGCAGCAGCGGATCCCGTGTCGCCGCCTTTTAGAGACAATTAATAGCACCGCTTTTGTCATGGAAATGCTCGGCTGCTGCTGGACAAGGCCCCCGAGGCGGCCAGGTCCGTCACTGCCAAACATAAATCTCGTCCTGGAGCGACGCCCCGGTCTGTATCACAAACGCAGCATGAGGGGCGTCAATCCCCAGAGGAGCAGTCAAATCCTTCTGTATGAGGGCGGCGGCGGTATGGTTATACGACGACGACCCGAAGGACCACCTGCAGCTGGATATAAGACTTTGGCCCGAAAAATTGAGTGCCGCGGGCAGCGCAGCTCACTCGCAGCAGGATTATGTTTTTTAGATCTAGTTTATTGCAACCTCATACGTGATGAGCTTATTTCGGTGAACATAACAATCTTTCTGGGCGCGCAGCGAGTTTCTTATTTTTTTTATTCTTAAAGACATCATGGCGTCTCTCCTGGAAATGTCTGCCGCCGGTCTGCCGTTTGATGGGCGCGAGCGTCTTTTTCAGAATCTACGATCGGGCCGCCGCCGCCGCGGTCTGCGCGCGCGCGCCACTCTGCTTGCGCTGCCTGCCTGCGCGCAGACCAAATTTAATTTCTGTGGTCGTTAACCCACGCGGAGGTCTGCCCCCTCCCCTTCTCTCTTTCTCTCTCCCCGCACCGCCTTCTGCGGACACTTAACGCCACGACTCTGCTCGTCGCCATTTCTAGTCGGCGGTGGCCGGGAGGAGGGAGGGGAGGGAGGGGGTTACGATGGGAGGCAGGGCTTACCGCAGCAGGCTCGGCTCTACAACATGAATGAAGTTCAGCAGCCGAGGCGGCAGCGGTGCCGGTGCGGCGTGCCCTGGCGTGCCCTGGCGCGGCGTCGCGCTTCGCCCGCGTCCATCCTTTTTGCGGCCAGGTGATGTTCTGTTCATTTCCTGGCCTCATTCATCGCCCTGCCTCCCACTGTTGTTCTTGTTGCTCTGTTCGGCGTGGCGGGGCGTAGCGCGGGGTGGCGGTCGGTTCGAAAGCAAGTGAATGGGACTTCCCTGTAGGCCGTATTCTCACGAGGTCCAGGAATGAGAGTGGGAGAGAGGGAGAGGATTGGGTCACTATTCGTCTCTCTCTCTCTCTCTCTCTCCCTCTCTCTCTCTCTCTCTCTCTCTCTCTCCCCCCCCCCTATCTTTCGCCCTCTCCCTCTCTCTCCCCTCAGTCTTTTGGTCTTGGCGAGCGGGGGGGGGGAGAAGGGCATTGCCCGCCGGGGTGGAGCGTGGAAGGGGTGGGGGGTTGGCTCATTTGGGCCGGGATGGCTCTGCGATGGCGGTGCGGTTCGCAATAAGCGCAGATTAGAGGCGGATGGGACTGTCTGTCTCTGGCCACTATTCTCCGACCGCTCGCCCTCTCTCCACCTGTATACCGAACAACCTAAATGTAAGGTTTTTTACACATGGCACGCGGGTGATATCGATCGGTTGGTGGAATATCGGGGCTCGGCTCTGTTTTGTTAAAGGCTGAAAGGAAAATGTTTTGGCCGCCTACCGGTGCGGCTGCTGCTGCTGCTGCTGCTTGCGAAATAGAAAAATAACAAAATAAAAAATAAGGGTGGGCGAGCTCGTGTGAAGTGTGCACTCGGTCGGGCGGGCCGGGCGTAAATGTCGTGATGTTGCTTTGTCTGTCCGCTTGGCTGTGCAGCACAACGGCGTCCCCCCCCCTTCTCTTCCTGCTCGTCCTCTGTTCGCTATAAAGTGTGCGACGCCCCGACACGTGTCTGAGAGGTTTCTGAGGTGATCGGCGCGACGCATCCCCGGAAGTGCGTTTTATATTGCGGTGCATTCCCGAGAGTCTTTTGCTCTGGACTTCATGGCAGACTTGTTGCACTTTTCTTTTGTTTCACGGTTTTAGGAAAGAATGACGAATGAGTCGATCGATGTCGATGTCAATCAGCCGTCTTGTGGCGAATTGTGTCGTCGTATTTGACCGCCTCGTCGTCCGTGTAGCACATTGTGGCTCTTCACAGGACTATGGATCGACTGCGGACTAAGCCAAGCTTCTTTCTGTTCTCCTCCGCAGGGACCCCGATCAACCGCCTCCCCATCATGGCCAAGAGCGTGCTGGACTTGTACGAGCTCTACAAGCTGGTGATCGCGCGCGGTGGCCTGGTGGACGTCATCAACAAGAAGCTCTGGCAGGAGATCATCAAGGGCCTGCACCTGCCCTCCTCCATCACCTCGGCCGCCTTCACCCTGCGGACACAGTGAGTAACTTG